ATTTCCTTTCATATATATGGAGCAGCACCCAGATAAAAACAAAGTTAGATTATCCGGCTGATAAAATTTCAGCACCTCCAGGGCCCAAATCAATCATGATAAGAAAATTAGGTTTTTCCATCACTCACAAGTGACATGGGGTGGCATCAATAATGAGTAAAAGGGCTGGTTTCCTGCACTGTCAATCCTATGATTAATTGGCAGTGCAGGGAAAAGGTGGAAAAGAAAGAAACATACACTGGTGATCTGAGAGGATCAAAATTAACCTTTAACCCGCTACCTGAGTGTGAGATATTGCCACTATTACAGAAACACTTCAGCATGGAATCTGCTGGCCAGAAAGTCACTAAGCAATGTTGAATGCCAAATGCAAGCACAGATAAAGATTGATTCATTCTATTCAATCATTACTTATGGAAATAAATATCTAATTTTTAGCTTATCATCACAGCGTAACATGATACTCATGGAACAAATGCCCAAATGATTTAGATATCAAAAAATTTCAACCAAAATATGATAAGTGATCGGGTCCTAATTTGATTATTTTATTAGTGGTAAACAAACTGTTTGTTGGTGAAAGCCAGTAGAGATCGTGACTGCTGGTGGTGAATAGCCAGTAGGAATCTTGACTGTCGCTGGTGAACAACCAGTAGAGATTGTGACTGTCGGTGGTAAACAGCCAGTAGAGATCGTGACTGTCGGTGGTAAACAGCCAGTAGAGATCTGACTGTCGATGGTGAACAGCCAGTAGAGATTGTGCTACTTAGAACTTTTAATCCTACAATGCTTCAAGATGTTCATGTAGCAGACTTTCAAGGAAATTTGAGAGGTCAATATTTAAGCTTTAGTTAATTGCTTGAATGTTTAGGAAAACTTGCAGTAATCATATTGCCGGTAGGTTGTAACCAAATCTGTATGATTATATATTTTATTTTTATCACGGTGTGTGTGAAACCACATAATCCTAAGAATAATTAAAGTAAGTGAAATTTAATCTTTTGACCACGACTCAACTTCCAATTACAACGTTTTTTTCTGGACGTATATTCTTTCTTGGAAATAAACTTGGAACTTCATTATATGATATGATATTGAAAGACAATAACAGTCATGGTTCTATTATCGTAACTTTTCTCAAGCGCTTGTTTACATTAATTCATATCATGAAGGATATGTGTACAAACAAATATACGTACATAGAAACAAGGAATCAAAATTATGATTCATTTGACTTTTATCAGTTTCATAAATGGAATTCACTCATGTATCAGTGAGTGTAAGTAGAATGAAGCCAATGAAATGCATTGCCAACAGAATTTGACAAATCACAGCCAGGCTTTTAACAGACAACCAATAAAATATGAATACTGAAATCACCCACTGAACAACCTTTACAGCATAAATGAAAATGTTTGTATCAAAATACAAAGTACACCTTCTAAATTCCCCAAATGTTGCTCTACAAAAGGAGCAAGATAAGATTTAGGATTTAGTGTAAAAAATATTCTGATAGCTGGCCAATCATATGAATATATAATGAGGATGACTTGTTTGACATATTGCTGGTTTAAATAATTCAGTATTACAGTAAACGTGTGACACTAGTACAAAGAACAAAAAGCTACATGAATTATTCGTTTCATGTTAAGGATAACGACTAATACTCCTGTTATCAATATGCTACTAACGGCAAGGGAGTTCGTCAAGTAATTTCTCAAGAGTTATGTTTGATCTGCATATACATGTATATGGCTAAGCGATTCAATCTTTGTTAAGGCAGGTATTCTGACCACAGAGGTTGAGTCTTTGGTTGATATCCTCACCATAGCAGTTTATTTTTTGGTAAAACAATTTTCTGACCATTAAGGTGAAAATGTGAACTGAACTAATAAAGGGGGTTGTTGATTTGTCACTATAGGTGTAATTTACATATGTCACTGTAGGTTACAGTTTAGTTTTTATAATCACATATTAATCTATATGCAAATATTGTCACACTTTCTGTGCAAAATTTGAAAAAAATCTGAATTAAACAAGACAAAATGAGCTACAATAAAAACTGCCAAACAAGAATTTCACATAAACAGTGAAGCGATGGAGAACTCAAAAGCCACACAAATTGATGAAATTAGCCATCTTTTATGCATGGATTCATCCAGAATTATAATTTGAACCCCCCCCCCCCCCCATGTGAGGCCAATCATCTGGGAAGCCTTAATAAAACATACACATCATACCTCAGCTTATCTAGCCCACAAATACTGCAGAGAAATGTCCTGTCAAGCGTATCTAAGGGATAGCATGGATGACATGCCAGATCAGTGATGAGAGAATGCAGCAAGTATGATTAATGTATTACAGATCAGAAACAAAATCAATATTCATCATATATCATTTTTAAAGAAATATGACATTAAATCCATAAATTAATTATTAATGATATATTAATGTATACAATGTATGACACGTAATTGATTACAAGCACTAAAAGCGTTGTTTCCATATATGGTAATATATTCCATATTATACTAGTAGTGTACAAAATTAGGAGCAGTATCGCATCACTTCAGTGCAAATGAACAGCTGAGTTTTGTTACCAGGACTAACCAATGACTCATCACTGAAATCTCTGTTAATTTCATCACTAGACCCGGAAGTCAAAACCTTGTATTCCACTTACACAGGAACCTACTATTGAGAGAGGCAAGCTGTTCAATGAATAATTTATGAGATCCACAATGCTGAAAATAATCCTGATTTTAGAAATAGCGGAAGAAATATCTCTTTAAGAAAAAAGTGATCCATTCCCTCCATTTCAGGTATTCCCAAAAATTATACCTTTTCCTGATGTTTATTACAATTATTATATTCTTTGCTTTTATGATAAGATTTTCCCAAATCAATTATTTAATAAAATGTTTTACTGTTTTTTTTCTTTTGTCCTTGTTTTTTTGGTTATAAGTCACCTGGTGTCATCAGCTGTTGCTTAGCGACAGACTTATATTACCCAGGAAACAAAGTGCTTGAGGTGTTTTTTATTATAAAGTAATTAAAATTAAAATTTACTAAGACTTATGACAACAATACAGTAATGAATTATGGACTAGAGGGATTCGTTTTAGAACATAAACATAGAACATAAATGTATAAATGATGCAAAACTTGTCACCATAATCATAACAATAACTTATACCTCATATTCTAGGTATATGAAGCGAAATAAATATGTGCTACTGTAAACATTACGTTTCCCTGATGTTTAACCTTTTTCCCACCAGTTCCCACTTTTCATCACTAATAGTCTCATTTATAGAAGATTGCGACAAAAATAGCCAAATATTTTGAATAAAAACTGAAAATTGACTTAAATTTTGTGTCTGTTAACTCCAAAATTAGGGTTTATTTCCAGAAATATTGAAAAATATTTTTAAAAAGTGCAGAAAAATTTGAAGAAAGTCTGGTGACTGAAAGGGTTAATTTACAATTCTGTGGATGATGATCATTTCAGCAGAATTATTCATGGTTTGAAATATGTGAAAGTGTATGGCTTGGAAGAGGCTAGAGTGACAGAATACTGTGGCTTGGAAGAGGCTAGAGTGACAGAATATTGTGGCTTGGAAGAAGCTAGGGTGACAGAATACTGTGGCTTGGAAGAGGCTTAGGTGACAGAATACTATGGCTTGGAAGAGGCTTAGGTGACAGAATACTATGGCTTGGAAGAATCTAGGGTGACAGTATAGTGTGGCTTGAAAGAGGCTAGGGTGACAGAATACTGTGACTTGGAAGAGGCTGGGGGTGACAGAATACTGTGGCTTGGAAGAGGCTGGAGTAACAGAATACTGTGGCTTGGAAGAATCTAGGGTGGCAGTATACTGTGGCTTGAAAGAGGCTAGGATGACAGAATACTGTGGCTTGGAAGAGGCTAGAGTGACAGAATACTGTGACTTGGAAGAGGCTAGAGTGACAGAATACTGTGACTTGGAAGAGGCTGGGGTGACAGTATACTGTGGCTTGGAAGAGGCTAGGGTGACAGAATACGGTGGCTTAGAAGAGGCTAGGGTGACAGAATACTGTGGCTTGGAAGAGGCTAGAGTGACAGAATATTGTGGCTTGGAAGAGGCTAGAGTGACAGAATATTGTGGCTTGGAAGAAGCTAGGGTGACAGAATACTGTGGCTTGGAAGAGGCTGGGGTGACAGAATACTGTGACTTGGAAGAGGCTGGGGTAACAGAATACTGTGGCTTGGAAGAGGCTTAGGTGACAGAATACTATGGCTTGGAAGAGGCTTAAGTGACAGAATACTGTGGCTTGGAAGAATCTAGGGTGACAGTATAGTGTGGCTTGAAAGAGGCTAGGGTGACAGAATACTGTGACTTGGAAGAGGCTGGGGTGACAGTATACTGTGGCTTGGAAGAAGCTAGGGTGACAGAATACTGTGGTTTGGAGGAGGTTAAAATGTAACTGTTGATGTACAAATTAGAATTAAGGTCATGTTAATTTAAACATTTTAACAGTTGACAGCATTCTGGTATATACACACATAACCTAGGCATCAAATGAGTCAAAAACATGCAGTGCAAAACAACAGATCAGATAACCATAAAAAGGAAAGTAAAAAGCAAAGCAATCAAACCACAAAAAATGGTGTTTATGCGTTCAGTACAGATAACTGGGCTCATTATCAAGTAACTTGTCCAATAGACAGAAAACATGACCCACAGAATAATCTGGGATAAACAATGTATACAAGTGGATAACAAGCAAACTGCATTAGGAAATACCACTTGACGATCAAATCTAGAGAGATATGCAATGAATGTATACCTGGAGTTGTAACACAGCCCTTGCCACTGGGCATATCTGATAACACTACACACAACTGTTGTTACATTGACTATAGCTAGTATTAAGAAAACATTATAAAAAAAAAAGTGGCTAGGTAATTGTCATCTTGAAGAAACTAGAAATGAAAACATGGGGGAAAAAACATGAAACTAGGAACGCACTTTATTAGAACAGTTGAACTAGCATTTAAATAGGGTTTTTTTTAGGTGAATTTGACAGAATCAGATTCCCCCAAAAAACATTTTTGATGGTTGTGTGACTCGTCTGTGAGAATCTAATCACAAGTGACAGTGTCCTACTACAGTTGAGGACACGATAAATGTAGAAAATGTTCAAAGGAGACTATAACATGTGTAAAACTCGGGCTAAGTACGCTCCATCCATCTAGCTTTGAGACAAGCAGGTGTTGACAAGTTATCAAAGAAGCTATCACATTTGATTGCCTGATAACTGCAATCTTTGCCTAAGCAAATGGCTGCAGTGCTGCTCTTCACACCTGTGCAATTGTAACAAAAGATGCACTAATTATAACAACACACTCTTGACCTCAGCTAAGGATTTACCATTGAAATGCAGAAAACTCACACTGCATCATTTTTTTTGCATGAACACTTCAAGTGTAATTCTTCAAGCTCTGTCAAGTGGTGTCACATGTTAACTCCCCTGTAGAAATTTGTAGCCAAAAGTACCTTGAGAAATGCATAAAATTCCAGACATACTCAATTAGCACACGCAGGGAATGATAATGGCTCTGTGCAACTGAAGTCAGGAGATGACAATACACAATTAAACTTGATTAAACTGAATACTATAGAAAAATTGTTTAGTTCATAGAGGGGTTCAACTTTTAATTCAAAGTAGGGAGAGAAATCAAAGAAATGATGCTGAGTTGAAACACAGATTATTACTGTACATGTATTATAGTTTTATTATATGGGTTTTATTTTTGCTGATACATGTAGCTAACATGAAATCTAATAATTAAACCTACTTTCTTTTACAGGTGACATAAAATTGAGAATACAAAATATTTCATTCATTTTGTGCATATCATTTGACAAACAGATTAAATCTTAGATTATCATTATATAAGTAGGTTTACTAAGTCTTGAGACAGCCAAATTTCTTGGAAGCCGATTTCTTCAAGGTCACTCTACATGCAAGTTTTCTAAAGACAGATTTACAAACCCTTAAAATTTAACTTAACAACAATTTTATCTTGCAAATAAGTACAATTCAAAGCCTGTTGCCATCACAGACAGGTTGTTAAGTGAAGAACAACTTTAACTTTATAGCAAAACAAACTCTCCACTAAGGCCTTAATTCCCTCTCATTTATACAAACAGGGATTAACATTTGTTTTTATGATGTTTTTGTTCACCCAGGTGTTCAACATATGGATAGTTCAAGGGTTTTCTCACCTGAGATAACCTTACACAGTATATATTATCGATATCAAACGTCAAACCCAGATAAACATATCAAGATGAATGTCAAACCCAGATAAACATTTCAATGTGAACGTCAAACCCAGATAAACATCATATCAATGTGAATGTCAAACCCAGATAAACATTTCAATGTGAATGTCAAACCCAGATAAACATCATATCAATGTGAATGTCAAACCCAGATAAGCATTTCAATGTGAATGTCAAACCCAGATAAACATATCAATGTAAATGTCAAACCCAGATAAACATATCAATGTGAACGTCAAACCCAGATAAACATCATATCAATGTGAATGTCAAACCCAGATAAACATTTCAATGTGAATGTCAAACCCAGATAAACATCATATCAATGTGAATGTCAAACCCAGATAAACATTTCAATGTGAATGTCAAACCCAGATAAACATATCAGGGTTCTCCACGAGGGGTTTTTACAGGGCGCCGCGCCCTGTTATCTGAAATTGGCGCCCTGTTTAAATTGTCAGCGCCCTGTTATA